TTTATAGAAACAAAAATGGCCCTACATCTCTTACTGACTAATTTAACAAAGTAACATCAAACAAACATTGAAACAAATATTAACCTACAAATAAACTTGTAAATAAACCCCAAAATATAAGTAAACTAACAACAAACTTCAAAATAATAAAAAATAAGAACAAATAGCTCCAACACCTCCAAATGGTCATAAAAAAATGAAATCGATATTGAAATTACCTGCCACTTAAAAAACATAACTCCCTTCATGCTCACTCCTCTTCTGTAGCGGTAGATAGATTCTGAAGTACTACGAACACAACTTACGAACACGCCCACTTTAAGCCTTGAGTACAAACCCTATAAATGATACGGTTGACCCTGAAGAGTCTGCTTTGAAAATATTAGGAGTAAAAAGTAAAAACGTGTCAGAAAAAGAAATACTCAAGTACAGATATCTGAAAATTCTACTTAAGTACAGTAACAAAGTATTGTTACTTTGTTACAAAGTATTGTTACTTTGTTACTTCCCACCTATGCTAATAACATATGCATAATGCTGTCCATGAAAGTAATGAAAAGCGAGGTATTGCACAAGTGGCGCTGTATTGGTTTTGAAAATTGACAGTTCAAATAAGTAACTAAGTCCTTGGCGAGTTGTGTTCAGGCACAAATGAGTCTTATCTCATGGTGGAGCAGGTACAGGGTTCTGAGGCTGTTCAATGATGTTATATTTTGCAGGTTACTAAGGGAGACAGTGCTTGGCATCGCTTGTCAGATGGGAGATCAGGATGCTCTGAACGAAGCTTCTCGGATTTTTGACCAGTGGATCAGTGGAAGTCTTAGGCAAGTTCTCCAGTGTTCTAACTAACAGACAGAAAATATATTATTCAAAAGTTATATATTTTCTATTCTCATTATTATTTTAACACAGCAATTAATTGGTTGACACCAATGAACAGGATGGTTGGTGTCAATTTAACTTTGAATCTATTTCTGGTTTACTGTTTATGCAAACAGTTCAGTTACAGACTGCGGTCTCAGGACATCATTACATTCACCGTTCCATCAGTTTGTAGAGAGCGTGGGAAGAAGGCGCTCTGCTTTTCTGCACCGTCTTCATGGGATACATTGCAGAAAAATTTGAAGCTCTCTCACTTGATTTCACTTGCAGACCTCAAAAGACGTACAACTGTTTTTGTGAAATCATCTCTGGGAACTTGTTCTTGTTTTTAATATGACTGTGTACACAAGACAACTGTAGCTATTTTGTTTTTTTATTGTTGTAGTTTTAATATGTTTGTCTGGAACAGGTCTCTCTTGGCTCTCAATGCGACTACCTGTATAAATAAAGGTTAAATTGAAAAAGAAACCCAAACAACAATAATTTAACTTATTTCACTGCACAATGTGATTATCTGTTGATCTACAGCAGCGTAGCAGTCAACCTGAGATTACTGGTATATCGATACGGCATGAAGAATTCAGGCAGTGAAGAAAACTGGAACATAATGTTACAGAGGTATAAAGAGACGTCTTTGGCCCAAGAGAAGGACAAGCTGCTGTATGGACTGGCATCTGTGGAAAACGTGGAGCTTCTTTATAGGTAATAACACTAATTTATTTTGACCGGTTCACTTATCATGTCTTCTAGAGTTTCATTACGTGATATTTAGCTAACCCGTATTTCATTAGGTCTGTGCCTGTAATTCAGACTCACTGAAAATATGTTTCTGTAGACTGATGTCCTAAGTGAACTATAAGAATTAATAACAGTGCAAGTCATTTTCTGGTTTTGTCACAGGCTTTTTTGCCTTTAAACTTAGGCTTAAGCAACTAAGATAAACTTTCCCCTTCTTGAGGAAGAATACATTTTCTTGTCTAACAGGCTCCTGGAGGCTACAAAAGATGAGAGCGTAGTGAGGAGTCAGGATTTGTTTACTTTGGTCCAATACGTATCCTATAACCCACTTGGCCAAAGCATGGCCTGGGAGTGGAGTACACTCAACTGGGACTATCTGGTAAACAGGTCAGTACAATAAGCCAGCACACAAAGTAAGCACGCATACCATGATTATAACTTTGGATGGTAGATTCATTTGTTTATTTATGTTTGACCACGTTGAAACAGTAGGGCTGTTAAATGGTCAGACTGGTCTAGTTCTATTGTTCTGTTATAACATTAAGAGAGTTAGGTGTGTTTTGAATTAAATACTAATTAGTAGGGGTTAAAACAGGAACCTTCTTGCTGTGAAGCAACAGTGTTAATCACTACACCACCATGTCACCACTTTGATTATATGTTCCACCAGATGAGGAGGGAAACTGCACGTCTTTTATTTTAATCACAGGGATTCATCCCAAAGGTTTAAACTGTCAGTGCAGAGTTCCTCTGTAAAGTCCTAAGGTATCTGAGGGAGAACGCTTGGTAGAAATAATCTGAATTTAGTTGTGTTCTAGCAGGTCATCGAATGCAGACTTAATTCATTTTATCAGGACTTGTCCACTTCCCAAAAATGAAAGCACCAGTCACACAGGCACAACTGGAAAGACAAGAGAATTTCTTTAAACTCACTCCTGGAAATTATATATTACACTGTTTTACCAGGTACACCATCGATGACAGGAACCTTGGTCGCCTACTCAATAGAATTACCACCAGATTCAACACAGAGCTCCAGTTATGGAAGGTTAGCCTGAGCTTTTATGTAACTTTCTCTTTGCCCTTATACAAACAAGGCTGTGATTTTTTAATTGTAGCTAATAGATATTATTTACTGACAATTTCAGGTTGACACCTTGTGTTTAGGGTTATTGTACATTTTTATGTATCTATGGTCATCTATGGTTTTTTAGATGGAGCATTTCTTCAACCTAACTCCAAATGCTGGTGCTGGTGAGATGCCCAGGAAGCAGGCACTTGAGACAGTGAGGAACAATATTGAATGGATTAGGAGGAATGAAAATGAGATCAAGGAGTGGCTGGACAGTAACGTTGCCTGATGGAAAACACCACAGGCATTCATACTGTTGCTGTAAAGAACTAGAGCACCCACAACACTTTGTTGAAACCGGCACTTTGTAATGACACAATTCGGTGATTTGTCTTTGATTTTAGCGGGGACCTACTAATCCGAGGGTTCTTCTGATTTTCATCAGTAAAAACAACATGAGGTTCTGGCACTTGCTACCAGGATACCTGTATTGTATACACACTAAATTAATTTGGAAAAGAAATTGGAATCAATTTGCTTTCAGCAATTGACAAATGTGAATTTTCAATATGTAAATGAACATGCTCCCATATGTGGAAACTGGCTTCTATCACTGTGAATATGCATTATTCTTTCCTCAAAAACCCACACACACTCTAAAATTTCTTTGAACCACCTTTAACTTTGATGGTGGCCTTTTAATAAACACATGCAATGTTTCACACACATGTATTACCATTGTCAAGAAGATTAAAATCCACTGGCTTATCTCCATCCAAGAGGAGAATAAAGGACTTAACATAAAGAGTTTATATAGTGAAAGTAATACAGAGTGCTATATCAGAGTATTTCTTTATGTGTATATCTGTAAATAGTTAATCATGTATAATTCTCATCGAACATAAATGAGTATAACAGCAGCTGTTAAGAAGATTTGGGGTTCTTTCTCTAGTTTCACACAAATGACTAAAGAGCAGCATCATCACTTTGGAGTTCACAGGTAGAAATTTCAGTGAAAAGCACCAGAGGATTAACCACTGCCCAGTTTTTGTGGACGTACAAATTGGAATGATAATTTTTGGCTATTTCTCTGCTCATTTTTGCTGTGTTAGATTATAGGATCAAAGAAGTTGGAGGGCTTTGTACCGAGACAGTGCTTCCCCTTTTGGACTTTATCAGGCATGGGATGGAAATCAGTGCATATGTGTCCTGGGTGTATCTGTTCTCTTTTCTCTCATTCAGCTCAAGATTGGTATCAGAAATCAGCTCTAGTTTAGAATAGGTTAGTTAGATTAGGATGAAATTCACAACTGATTATTACCATTTGATAAAGCGTTGCCTTGCCCTTGCAAAATTGCTAAAAAAAAAGAAAAAAGCCCTGCATTCAAAAGTCTAAATTGAAGACATTCCCCTTTCGACTCTTTATGAAACAGTAAACAAGCAAACATCATAGAGGAAGCAAAACTGTGTAAACTGTCACATTGATTAACGTATGAGATGAATAAATGCTTTTTAGTGGACGATTGTCAGTTGGCTTTTACAAAAGGAAGAAATGTACACAACCTT